AAGTGAAGTGCCAAGTCCCTCCGATTGTGCTTTTGGGGTTTCTTCCTAATGGCTAATGACTTGAAACACTTTTGTCTCACTGCCAGTTTAATTCTTCTCTTCTTTTTAAGAAGGGTTTTTATAAGGTCTTATGTTTCATCAAGGAGTCTTAGTAGCATGGTGGTTAAAGTGCTTGGAGGCCAACTGAGAGGTCAGGGGTTTGAACTCACCAGCTATTCTGAGATAAAAAGATGTGACAGGTCCCATAAATATTTACCGCCTTGGAAATCCTGTGGAACACTTCTGCTTTGTCAAATATGACCACTATGAGTGGGAATTGATTTGATGGCAGTTAATTTTTGGCTTGTTTCAGCCCACCTGGGGTGTAAAGTGAATATATAAAATAGTTTGTTAAGAAATTGTTCACCTTGGTACTGGTTAACATGAGAATACCCTGACATTGTTTGGAAATGGAATTGTTGCTTTGCATATTTGCCCATCAAATCTTTAAATAAATAAATGGAAATTTTGCCAAGAAGTTCTTTAGACTTAGTGTTTTCTCAGTGTTGGCGGTAACTGAAGGGTAAGACAAAGGTAAAGAAAGTAAGGGAAATCTGGGCAATCAATGCTTTCCTCATTGTAAAATTTAGAATTCTTAGAATGCCATTCTAAGTAGTATCTACAAAGTGTTTCAAGTTCCTCAGCATTTTAAAAAGAACATTACAAAGATACTACTATCATTTTTTTTCTCTCTCTTTGCATTTCAGGAGTACTTCTTGCAAGCAGAGCTAACAAGTAATGTTTTAAAAACAGGAGTGGTTCACTGCTGTGTGGGGCAGTGCAACAATGCTATTCCTGTAGACACCGTCCTCACGATGAGAAAACTCCCAATTACTTATGTATGTGGCTTTTACCAGCTCCTTTTATGTTTAACTCAATCCTTTTAAGTTTTGTGGTTGTGTGTTACACACTTATTTGGGTTGTGGACAAAAAAGATAAAAGAAAATTTCATTTGTTGTTTCCTTTAGGGCATATTAGATGTTTAGAATACCTAAGGCATGAGAAATACATGATCTACCTATATGTCAAAAACATTATGATTAAGGGTCAAGTGTTATAGTATGGACTGGGAGTACTAAAGCTCTCTAACCATCATGGATTGTGACCAAACACAAGGAGAACTGCTTACCTGGAAGCTCTATGAAGCATTTAACTTAATCAATTCTGGTTTCTGTTTTAAGGGAATTTGATAGAGTTCTATTTACCCTAGAAGATAGTACCATAGGAAGTATTACCCCAGAGGGTTTGCATAGTCTGTAAACATCAGGATAAGATTTCCTAGTCATTTGGCAGCTGTGACAGAGATTCAGGGCTTTGTTCGGGCAAATATTATTTGTTGATTGCTCCTCTTAACTCTTTTTTCTTATCTGTCCCTGCAGAGCAACAGGAAGGAAGACCAGGGTGGCTACTTCTGCCACTCCTGTGCTGAGCAGCGCATAGGGCCTTTGGCATTCCTGACTGCCTCCCCGGAGCAGGTGCACTCCATGGAGCGCACCATTGAGAACCTAATGCTGCCCAGACATGAAGCTTTGCTCTTCCTTGTCTTCTGAACATGAGCATTTCCCATGGCGCAACATGCCTTGCTGTGGGCTCCAAGTACTCCAATGAGCCAGTGTGGAGTAAGATTCTCCTTCACCAGAGACTCTGAATTAATTTCCACAGCACTTTTTGAGGATGAAGAAACTTTTTGAGGGTGAATTGGATCTGCATTTCTCCATTCCCTAGAAGTTGCCAGTTTCCACTTACCCCACCTGCCATATGCACCAGGTTGGGGAAGTGGGAAATGTTGTGTTTTGTTTTGTTTTTTTTAAATAAAAAATATTATGTATTTAAGCTTTTATTACAAGGTTTCAGTTAAATAGGCACTGTAGCATTGGAAAACCACCCTGTGACACCTGGCTTCAGCACTGTTGTTTCTGAGATTTCTCTTTGTCCCTTTTATGTCTTTAATAGCTCTGCCATTATTCACATGACACACCAAAAAGAGTATGAGACTTAATCTCTAGAATGAAGTATTTGAGGCATCAAAAATGATATTTTAGCATCATGGAGATTTGAGGTATCATAAATTATATTTTAGCATCATGGGAATTTGAGGTATCAAAAATGATATTGTAACATTATCGGAGTCATGAATGTCTTAGGGTACATAATTTAAACAGAAATAGATAACAATACATTAAAAGATAAGTACTAAGTGACAGTAACTAACTAGCTTTTTCATTTTTCCTACAAATAGAAGTGAAAATCACAAATTCTAGACAGAGGAAATGGAGTTAGTCAACCATTACGGAAAGGAGGTAATCTTTATGGTGTAGTGATTCAAGCATTCCACTGCTAACCATAAGGTGGGAGGTTCAAATCCACCAGTCACTACACTGAGGAATAATGTGGCAGTCTATTTGTAAAGATTTCCAGCCTTAGAAACCCTATAGGACAGTTCTACTTGGTCACAGAGGGTAGCTGTGAATCAAAATGGACTTTACAGCAGTTTTGCTTTTGTTTTATGGAACAAGAGAGTACGTAGGGGAGAGATGAAAAGTTGGTGGCTGGTTCACTGTGCCTGTGGGACATCAGATCTGTTTTTGATTATAAATCTAGGAATTCATCACATTTTTTTTCTCTGAGCTGAATCGAGCCCGATTGTAAACACCAGAACTTCAGTCATTATACTTCCCCTCTTAACCTGTCCAAGGCCAGGGCTCTGGTGGAGCTTGGGACGTGTGCCATGCATTTACAGCAAGCACAGTACTGGCTGATTAGCAGGTCCAGACTTAGTCACTGCACTTGGAAAGAGTAGAATTCCAAATTGGTGTTTGCAAATTAAGGAAAATCCACAGAATTGGACCTGAAGATAGACTTTAACTGTTTTAATGAATGGAAAAAATGGAGGGGTTTATTTCATCCACTTAGATTAATAATCCTGGCCTAGCCTTATCTGATAAAGAAAAAAAGAAATTATTTCGATTTGGAAATCATTCAGTATCATTTAAAAGAGATATTCTGAAGAGAAAGTGGCAAGAGAAGAATCCGTTAACCTGTTTTCTAATTTTTTTTTTTAGTCAAAGGGGAAGCAGTTTATTTACTGAAAGGGAATTCATTCATTTGGTAAACCTGCTATATAGGAGAAAGATGAGAAGTCTCCTCCCACACAGTATACAACCTCTGAAAATTGGCTGCAAGGTCAGCTATGCATGACTTCTGACTTGACAGCAGTAAGTGATGTAGCAGGTACTATGCTAGAATGAGGATATACAGAGTTAAACATGACCATTGACCTCAGAGAATGGTATTTTATTGGAAATATTATAGTTTGGGGTAAAGAGTATTTTAAGAGAGGTATACATGAATGCTCTAGAAATAGAAGAAGGATATCATTATTCAATTCAAAGTACAAATGGCTTCCCAAAGGAGTTGGTGCTTGAGCTGTGTTTAATAATATTGGTAGTTTGCTACCTATTAAAGAATGACTAAGTCTTCTGGGAAAGGGCAACCTGAAGAAAAAAAAGAATGTGACAGCACTTCAAGAGCAAAATATCATTATTGGTATTTTTGAAAACACCATATGAATTACTCCTGGTATTAAATATTAAGTTGTGAATAATTACTAAAAGCACAAACTTTGGTGTATTTCAAATACAAAAACAATTTTTAAGTGCTCAATTAAAATAAATCCCTTTACCCGTGGAATAGATCTGTACTATATAAAGTTGTCCTGAGTTATTTTGAAACAGAATAAAAGAAATTTGGGGTTTTGTTTTAAATCATAAAAAGCCCAAAGCCTTTAAAATTTTAAATAACATTTATCATGTTAATGAGTAGATGAAAAGAATAAATATTTTACTCAAACTATAAACATTACGTTAAAATGAAAATCTATTAGATCTTTTTAAAGGTACAATCTTGAAATTCTGACTGTATCAGAGGTTTAATTTAGCTGCGAATGTGTATTTGTGCAAAAGTTTCTGTCGGCTTTTATTTTTTTTATAAAAGAAACAAAACATAGTACTTGGGAAAATAATAATAATATATATGAACTAGTTCCTGATATTTTTCTCTGATGCATTAATTTTTTAATAACTGCACTTATAATTTGATAACTTAGAGGAAATATTTTACAACTATTTTTAAAATAGGCTTTTAAAAACTATGGTTCACTCACTGTCATTTTTGTTTTAAAGAAAGTGCTTTTGTCTCCACTTTTAATTTTACTGTGTATGTAGAGATTCTACTGCACTTACTCATATGAAAAGAGATGCTATTGTGTTATATTTTGCTTGATTATAAAATATTTGAAATAAAATAAAATATTATTGCAACTGTTCTAGTACTATAGTATATTGTAGTTGGTGCATGAGTTTGTCTTTATGTAAATTATTTTAAAGATACAAATGTCAAATAAGATTGAGTTTTTCATAAAATAATGATGTGATTGTATCTATATACCAAAGTAGTAAAGAGCAATGGTGTCACTCTGGAGATTAAGGTGTGCCTGATACAGGCCCTGGTCTTTGCAATCACTTGCTATGCATCAGAGAGCTGGACAATGACTAGGGTGGAAAGAAGGAGAATTGATGCCTTTGAGCTGTGGTGCTGGAGAAGAGTATTGAATATACCATGGACTGCTAAGAAAATGAACAGGTTCATCCTGGAGAGGGTTAAACTGGGCTGCTCCTTGGAGGCAAGGATTCTGAAGCTTTGTCTAACATACTTTGGACATGTTGTAAGGAGGGAACCAGTCCTTGGAGAGGGACATCATGCTTGGGAGAGTGGAGGGACAGGGCAGGAGAGGAAGACCCTCTATGAGGTGGATTGATTCAGTCAATGGAGTAATAGGGGTGGATGTGTTGGAGACAGATGAGCACAGGACAGAGCAGGGTTTAGGGCTGTTGTACATAGGGTTGCTATGAGTTGCAGGCAACTCGACTGCACATAACAACATACCAAAGATATAAAATGTAATAAATCTTTTGGGAATAAAAGGCATGTGTTTGTGGTTAGAACAGAGTATGTATAGTGTTGTTGCTGATTGCCATTGAGTTGAGCACGATTCATAGGGAGCCTCTGAACAAAAAGCCTTAAGCCTTTCTATAGTTATCAACGTTTATCAAAGTTCATAGAGTTTCCAGAGCGTCTTGTTTAGGAAGTAGATGCTTCCACATATGCAGTAGTGGTAGGCTACTGTAGAGAGAGAAAAGATTGATCTATAAAAGACTTTTCCCAGCTTGGAAGAACTTTAGTGGTCCTAATCCACAATATAAAAAGTCTTCCAAGTATCCTGAAAAATCTACAACTGGGAGAAGATAAAATAGATGAATGGGACCATCTAAGAATCAAATCCCTATGCACATCCAGAAACTTCAATAGTGTAAAAAGGGAAGCCACAGACTGGGAAAAAGTATTTGGTAATGACATGTCAGATAAGGGACTTATATCAGGAATTTATAAAATACTTAACACCACAATAAGATAAAGGTAAATAATCCAGTTGAGAAATGGGCACAGGATATGAACAGACACTTCACAGAAGAAGACATTCAGATGGCCAACAAGCACATGAAGAAATGTTCAAAGTCCCTAGCTCTAAGAGAGATGCAAATCAAAACAACTATGAGATATCATCTCACCCAGT